TACTGATGTTGTTTACATTCATAGCAATAGAGCTAAAACTCTATCCTCGCCACAGAATAATTATATTTTCGCCATTATAGTAGAATCAGAAATCCCGCGTTTTTAAAACATTAATTATTTCTATAAAATTAAAATAAGTTTTATATTTAATATAATTGAAGTTATTTTTATAGAAGTTCTAAATTATCTCGCACTTAAATTATGTCAGAGTTTCATCTTTATAGCAATACAGTATTTAAACTGTCGAAGAAAACATTAATTCGTTAACTTTATAATTAGTAATATGTTAATAAATCAATATTAACTCAGTATTATTATAATTGTAATGAATTAAAAAACTTGATACACACTTTAACATGAAAATATTTTTATTTCTGACTAAAAAATTTTTAATGAATTTATTTTGTATGTCTTATTTTTAAATATTGTTGTTTTTTTCTTTTTTCTTCCTGACATTTCTGTATTTGTTTCAAATAAAAATGCATTCTCGTTATAATATAAAATCTTACAATTTTTTCAGTTAAAGCAAGTTTATGAATATCACAACCTACATATCTTGTCTTTTTATTTCCTAAATTAGATAAAATATCGAGTATACTCTCTTCATGTAATTTGTTGAAACTAAAACACTCTGTAAATAAATTTTCAATATCACATATAAGATAAAATAGTGGCATTGAAGGATATATCAATCCTCCTTTATCAAACTCCTTTGTAAATCCTGCACATTCTGGATGTATATCAGTTGCATTAATAGATTTTGCATCAAGATACTTTTTACAATCAGTGCAGGATGTTTTTGGTAAAAACTTTCTTATCACATATCCAGAAATATAATAAATTAATTGCAAATTACTGTGTTGATAAATAATATCTGAATTTTCTAGTTTCTCACATTTTAAATATTCATTACTCTTTAATAATTTTCCGCTTTCAAGTAAATTATCAATTCTAAAAAATCTGGACTGATCATTCTTCATAAATTGCTGTTTTGGACATATTAAAGAGCTAATAATACTGGAAAAAGTATTGCCATTTCTTGGTGTTTTAGCTAAATTGTAAAAACTCAAATATTCCACAATAGTTAAAAATTCATCAGGATTAGGATGGTCATTACAACCCTTGGATTGTCTAATGATACTAAAGAGATTTTCCAACTTATCTTGACTTAATCTTGCTGTCATCAAATATTTATATCCTAATTATGGGGAATAGGCAAATTTGGAAAGATAGTTGGAATAGCATCTGACACAAGTTTAGGACGATCTCTAGGAATTGTAACTTCTTTACCATTAATTATATGTTTAAACTTCCGTTCAATAAACTGCTCATCAAAATAATGCTCGCAAACACAATAATATTCATCAAAAATTTGTCACCGCGAGGAATTAACTTACTCCATTTTTTTCGAAGCTCTTCGTCTTTTGGTGCCGAAAATAATGGACGTTTCTCCTTTACATTATTTCCAGTTTTGTAACCAGGTACAAAACAATGCCTTTGTAAATTCTTATTTTTATAAACTTCAGATATTTTTTTTTCAAAAATGGGATGAAAATCGTTCTACACAAAGTCAAAAACAAACGAAAAACCACTGAAAATGCTTTATGTAAAGTGATCTAAGTAACATCAAAACCGATGCGAGTGCCCTCTGGTGAGGCGTAAAAACGAGAACCTAATGTATTGTAGGAATAAAATAGCGAACGACACAGTATATATTCTAGCCCAGGGGTGGCCAAAACTGGCGCATTGGACGACTACAAGTGGCGCTTCGGTGCAATCGACCTGTTGACCTTTTTTTTTTTTATTTTTGCTTGTACGTTGCACATTGCATACACCACTGATGTCATATAGAACTATTTTATACGGGTAGCTACACTACAACCGCATTTTTCATTGCTTTTCTGTGGCAAATCTGAATTTTCGTCTTATAAATTAAAATACCTAAATAAGGGGTGGCCGAAATTTTTCTCCACCCCGGGCTGCTAACACTCACGGTACGCCACTGCGCATGTGAACTCGTCTATGAAAAAATTGGCGCATGGTATGCAAAAGGTTGGCCACCCCTGTTCTAGCCTATGTACTCCCGTGTTACCTGTATATTAATATATCCCATGTTTAAATTTTTCTCCGTTGTATGTCGCTTCGCGTTGAATTTTCGTCGATGTTGAGCCTAACGAAAATTTTTATAATAATAATCGTGGCTATTGTATCGTTAAAAATTATTTCTTTATTTTGTACAAGCAAAATAAATATATTGAACAATATAAAAACAAAAATATATACTTTAGAAGTCAATCTAGTATCAAAAACGTTCGATTCAGGCCAACTGGAACGCTTTTGGTTCACCGACGTTTCCGGTTAACCGATTGATCAACATTCGGATAATCGACGCTCTGCTTTATATCATCGAGATGGGTTGATAATAATAATAATATTAATAAGCTCAAACGTTTAGGAGTTGAAGGTTGAAATTTGGTACACAGGGTACGTCATGAAAACGTACACTACACTAAAAAGGGATTTTTCGAAATTTGAAGAAATAAAATTTAAAGAATTAAAAGAAATAAAACAAAAAAATACCTAATGCTTTTTAAATTTTTCTGTACCAACAACTAGAGTTGGGACAGCGAACCTGTGGCATATATGCCGAAAGTGGTATGTCAAGAGAAATTTGGTGTGCAACAGATACGATCTCTACTTGTTACTGTTAAATTGCACTTTTATAATGGTTTTATATTCAATTCCGTGTATCCTCATACTTTTCTCGATAAGCTTGTTTACATTTATTTAAATAAATTTTCTAGGTAAATCGATACCAGTCGGGTTCAAAAATTAGAAACTGTATGAAAATTTACCTTGTAATTCATTAATAAATAAATGTAAAATGTTTAAATCATCCTATATAATATTACAGTAATAATTCAGTAATAATATATAACAAAAGTGAATTATAAATTTATTATAGCAATAATGCATAAAACAGTAACAAGCATATACATAAGGCAAGCATTATAATGCATAAAATTTAATGCATTATGATTATATAACACAAATATTCGATATTAATGCTCTAGAGCCACATTTAAATATAATATTGTGTACTGGATATGAAGAATAAATTTCAAAAAGAAATCGCATGAACATTGTATAATTCATTATCGATTTTAACAGATGTAGATGTACTCAAAATGGCTGACGATTGCCTGTACTGTACTCTGTATCCTTCCCTATGCTTATCGTTATTATTTGGTGATTTATTTTACGAACGTTGCGTCCACCATAAATTAAATGCCAGACAAACGAAACTTGTATCCTTTTATGCAATTTTTCTTAATTTTCTTGCTTTTTTCCACTTGTTAATCGTTTGCATACAACCTTTCGCCACGGAAAATTTCATCATCGCGTGTAGTCCCATGCTGACGTTAACTGGTAAAAATAACGTGCCTTTTTTCACAGGCGCAGTCGTCTGCATAACACTATGTGGTGTTGTAACGATGTACAATGGCAGGAAAAACAAATTGACTTTCGATCTTGAGCTATCGGCTTACGAAACAGAAAAGGAAAATTTGCGCATTTATCAGTTAATTATTCGTTTATTCATTTTGATCAGTTATTCTGTCACGTTGGTTGTAAGTTGGGCTACGATTAGTATTCTCATTTACAAAAGAATCGAGGAACGTGCAAACTATATTAGAGCAACCGTCTGTGCGATTTTCATGAATTTATGCGTTCTGTACGAAGCAACCGGATTGTTATGGATAATCTCAATAACCACGTTAATATTAACTATGATAATGAAAAGATTCCATGTCCTGTCTAATGATCTGCAGCGAGCTAAAACTACTTGTTCTTATGATGCTATCCAACAATTGATAATGAAACACAACGAATTGTGCGAATTTATAAATCAGTTTAATGATAAATGGAGCCAGTGTCTATTCTTTCTTTACGGTTTTCTTATTACTTTTGTATCGTTTCTGTTATACAACACGGTATTTCCCGGTTTCCCTGCGCATTTGTATGTTTTCGTTTGTCTGGCAACTGCAGTTTCTATCTCAGGAGCAATTACCATTTCTCTCATTGTTTCTCGTGTTTCTTCAGCTGTAAGTTACTTTCTGTTTGCTTTGGTAAATCTGCTTTTTCTGACACTGCTCGTTATTTTCAGGCTTACGATTCTTTTCAAGAAATTCGAAAATTAGGAGCAGGAAACTTCAGATTAGAAGAAAAACTAAAGGTTTTTCCTAGAAATAATAGCTTGATTTTATGCCATATTAAATCAATTCTTTTACAGATGCTGGATTTCATGAAGAAATTTCGTGAAAATGAAATTGGATTCAGTTGTGGAGATTGTTTCATTTTTTCGAAAGAAACGGCAGTTGAGGTAAGACGATTGCATAAAAAACATTTCAAGTTGGAGAAATTTTGCCTTAGATCCGAATATTGCAATTTTTTTTCGGCTTTAAAACTTTTATTCACCAGAGGTAATCACTTTCGAATTTAAATGCTTATATATAAATGACTTTAACGTGGTTGAAGTTTTATCATTTCAGAGTGTCAAGTCTTGTATGATCATATTATTTACTGTTGTTATTAGTATTTCATGGGAACATAAATTTTACCAATTGATGTCATAGAAAACAACTCGTTTGTTTGTCCAATATCATAGTAACAATGCTTACACATCACGGAATTGACCAATCAAACTGTGTTTTTTTTTAAATGCAACATAAATTTAGTCAAATTTATATATATTTATTTACATAATAATGAAAGCATTAAATCTTATATAGTAACTGATTAAATACCAGTTATTAGTAAGTAAAGTGATTGTTTATTTAATTAATTGTCGGTTGTTTTACAAATTTTAGGTATACAATGCATTATATACCGTATTCAACATGTTGCTACAGATTAGAGACATCTGGTTGGGAGTAGATTCGAAATGTGTTGCTTCGAAACATTCAATTTCACCTCTCAACGCTACAGAGACGGTTTCTCAGAAATGAATACTGCAACAAAATCGATTAAGAAGTTAGAGATTTAGTATCCATGCTTAATATTGATTTTTCTGTGGATTTGAAAGTCATTCTTGAGAACACTATAAAAATCTACATATTCTATATATGCAGCCGAAACAAAGACTTGGAAGCATAGTTGTAGTTAATTCTGTTATTTTCTTTATATCTGCAATAACTAAATATCAAATTCACTAAGGTATTAAAAATCTTACTACACTGAATACGTTACTATTGCACTGATTAGAAATGTATAATTAAAAAAAAATTATATTCAACATGCAATGAAGACATGTATTCGCACTGAAGTGCATTAAGACATTCATATTAGTAATAATTTTTAAATTAATTGTAGGTGGTGAATCTTTCACATTTTTAATCTGAAATATAATAGAGTTATTACAAAAAATAAAAAGCTATAAGTGCAGCCTATAAGTGCGCTGTAAATCAATGTTCTCTGTTATGAAATGCCAGAAAACATTAATTTACAGGAGACCAGACAGAAAGTTTTTTTTTTCTTTTGTTATTGGAATGATAGTTTAAGTTTATTTAATTCTAGTGTTATGGCCATGACATCAAAATGGTGGTAAAAATCAAATACTTGTGACCAATCTCGATATTCACCTCATAACTATTATATTTCTTGATTGTGTTCATAGGCGACTTTAAATATTTTATTGACGACTTAAACGTATTAAACGATAATTTTTGTACTATATTTGTATTTTTTTTCAATAATTACATGCTATTATAAAGATTATTATAAATAACTGTAAACAAAAGAATAATAAAACCACTTTTTACTAATCTTTAACATACAGTTTTTTTTATTAACGAATAACGAAACAGTCAGAGAAAAATTCAATTATGTAAAATTAAAAGTTGAAAAATTTCATAGTTGAAACAAAGTTTAATACACTTTGGTTCAACAGATAAGTAGACTTTCAGGAGAACACTTTGTCGTATGGCGATAAAATTGACTTGGTGCCAGACAGACAAAAGTGATCGTCGCATTTGTTGGACACAGAAGTCACAATCCTCGTAGAGCAATTACGTCAGGAAGCGCGACAATTCAGTTAGGAAGCTTTGACTCTACTGTAAATGTAAACGAAGTCATGGGCTCGAATTTTTTACATATAAAGAGACCCTCGTTACATTTTTAAATTTTTCGTCGCGATTAATGGAAAATAGCAAAGTGTCGGCAAAAGAGGACCGTCAGATTTCGAGAACGAACTAAATTCTATAAGCCTAGAGAAGACGTGCTAGCGACCTAAATACATCGCCGGACACAGTCGTGCGATTCTTGCGATATCGCTTTGTCTCGTCCCCTACTACAACTTTCTATTACGAAAAATCGCACACTTTCGAATAAAATTAATTGCGAAGTGATCTTTTCGCAATTAATAATTTCAAAAATAAAAAGTTAAAGCAGTGTTTTACTTCATTACTTTCATATTTTTATATTATTTTATATAAAGTAATATAAAAGCTTGACGTAGATATAAAATTTCTTCTGTTTTATATAACGACCAAAACTTACTCTGTACTGTAAATAGAAACACTTCGATCATCATTGGCGTTCCATAAACCAAATCGATATTTATTGTCAAGTATAAACTGCATTTAGAGATATCAAATAAAATCTAAAAAGATACAGTAATATCACATACAATTTCCATTATAAATAAACTTTTGTCCGAAATGTGACACTACTCTTTTCTAGATTTTTATTTATGAAAACAAAAATTTGGTCTGCGTTGTCGTCATAAATCAGCGAAAANAACCGTCTACCAGAATTTGGAAAATGTAGGAGAAACTAAGACATTTACGGGTGGAGATAATATGTGATACCACATTGTCATTGGATGCTGATTTAAGCTTGATAATTTAGTTTTGGTGTATAAGTTACTTTGATAAATTGTAAATGCAGTGCACTGCATATGATGATTACCCAGTTGTACCGACAGGTTATTGGTATTGTATTTGTTACGTTGTTGCCATGTGTTTGTAAGCTGATGAGGGGTCCTTGTACCCGAAATGCATACTTACCTAAATTTGATATGTGATTATTAAGGACCAAAACCTTTTTTATAAGGTTCTGGTCCTTCTTCCAGTCGGCCTTGGTGTGATAAGCCCTGCAAAACGTTATACCCTATTTGTTGGGTTATCTAATTCTGTCTAATAATAACCTTGTTGCAGTAAAAGCTAAAGGAGAAAGTGTAACGTTTCATGTGTTTCCTAGACAAAAAGACTTAATTTCTAAAAGCATTAGGTCTGAATGGATTAATCGTTGCAAAAGGGGCGATAAATTTAATCCAGATACAAGTAGAATATGTTCTGTTCATTTTGTTCAAAGTGATTATGAAAGAGATTTACGAAATGAATTGTTGGGTAAGTCATAAGTACAATTCATTCATATATATTACTTGTTTTGGCGCGTGGATGTTTAATTTGCTTGTTTTAGTATAAAACTGCAGAATATTTTCTATTTCAGGTTTACCAAATAGAAACATTCTGAAGAAAACAGCTATCCCTACATTAAATCTTCCGGATAGAATAAACCCAACAGTTACGGAACGAGAAAGAAGAAGTTCAAAAAGAAAACAAAAGGAAGAAGTTAATGTTCTTTTAACAAATAATGATAACAATAGTAACAATCTTCAAGATGAATGTCATTACGAAATTAAATATAAGAAGCTGTTAGAAGAATATAATGTTTTAAAATCAGAATATGAAAAATTGAAAGAAAATCATAAAAAAAAGAATAAAAGTATTAAACGATTTATTACGATATTACAAAAGAAGAAATATCTATCGTCCAAATGTNAGACTTCATCATCTCTACTGTCCAGCGAATATTCCACTTATTCGACAATGGTCTTACTGACATGAAATTTGCCAAGCTCGAGGAGAAGATTGACATTCTGCTTGCCTGCGAACAGAAAAACTCGCTTATGGAGAGCCAGCAGATTATTCTCTCCGAACTCTCTGTCATAGAGGCCCGGACTGACAGCCAATGTTCCCTCTAAGTTGCGCGGTTGCGCGGTCGCGCACTGCTCAAATTGTTGCCGCGCCCGAGAATTTATGTGCCGCGCAGGCGAGCATGCACACCTATTTGAATTGTTGTTTACTTATTTCTCACTCTGTCTGCAACATGATTATTGCTGCGTATATTTCGATTAAATACNAGACATCTGGTTGGGAATAGATTCGAAATGTGTTGCTTCGAAACATTCAATTTCACCTCTCAATGCTACAGAGACGGTTTATCAGAAATGAATACTGTTACCAAATCGATTAAGAAGTTAGAGATTTAATATCCATGCTTAATATTGATTTTTCACACTATAAAAATCTACATATTCTATGTATGGAGCCGAAACAAAGACTTGGAAGCATAGTTGTAGTTAATTTTATTATTTTCTTTATATCTGCAATAACAAAACATCAAATTCACTAAGATATTAAGACTCCTACTACACTGAATACGTTACTATTGCACTTATTAGAAATGTATAATTAGAAAAAAAATTATATTCAACCTATAATGATGTACAACCTTAATTCAGTGCGAATACATCTGTATTCGCACTGAAGTGCATTAAGACAATCATATTAGTAATAATTTTTAAATTGATTTTAGGTGGTGAATCTTTCACATCTTCAATCTGAAATATAATAGAGTTATTACAAAAAATAAAAAGCTATAAGTGCAGCCTATAAGTGCGCTGTAAATCAATGTTCTCTGTTATGAAATGCCAGAAAACATTGATTTACAGGAGACCAAACAGAAAGATTTTTTTTCTTTTGTTATTGGAATGATAGTTTAAGTTTATTTAATCCCAGTATTATGGCCATGACATCAAAATCGTGGTAAAAATCAAATACTTGTGAACAATGTCGATATTCATAACTATAGTCACTTTATAACATTGTCACTTCATAACTATTATATTTCTTGATTGTGTTTATAGGCGATTATAAATATTTTATTGACGACTTAAACGTATTAAGGGATCATTTTTGTACTATATTTGTATTTATTTTCAACAATTACATGTTATTATAAAGACTATTATAAATAACTGTAAGCAAAAGAATAATAAAACCACTTGCCTTTAACATGCAGTCTTTTTTATTAACAAATAATGAAACAGTGAGAGAAAAATTAAATTATGTAAAATTAAAAGTTGAAAAATTTCATAGTTGAAACAAAGTTTAATACACTTAGGTTCAACAGATAAGCAGATTTTCAGGAGAATACTTTGTCGTGTGGCAATAAAATTGACTTGGTGCCGGACAGACAGCAGTGATCGTCGCATTTGTTGGGCACAGAAGTCACAATCTTCGTGGAGCAATTGCATCAGGAAGCGCGACAATTGAGTTAGGAAGCTTTGACTCTACTGTAAATGTAAACGAAATCATGGGCCCGTATTTTTTACATATGAAGAGACCCTCGATACATTTTTACGCAGTCGTGCGATTCTTGCGATATCGCTTTCTCTCGTCCCCTGCTACAACCTTGTATTACGAAAAACCGCACACTTCCGAATAAAAATAATTTCGAAATTCTTTTTAATAATTATTTTTATTTGGAAATTATTTTTTTTTAATTTCTGAATTTTAAACAATTTCGAATAGTTCTTTTCGCAATTAATTAATAATTTCGAAAATAAAAAATTAAAGCAGTGTTTAAACCTATTATATGCCAGCAGATCAATAAAATATCTCCATTACGTTTTACAAATTATAGAATATAGTGAAAGTAGCACGATAAAATATTTATTAATCATAACATTAACATTATAATATAAGAACCCTACGTATCTTACTTTCTTTTATATATAGAATAAAACTCACCAATATCTTTAGCTGAATACGACATTCTCATATAAGTTGTAGGTTTTTCTGTTCGAAAAGTTTCAAATAGATTTACTTGTTCCTTTACCGAATATAATAATTTTGGAATATCTAAAGATTTATAAGTCATTTGCATCAGAACAAAATTACTATTGTTTTGTTTACGTTTTAGTGTATTACCATCGTCAGAATTTTTTTTTCTCCTTTATCAAATGTTGATTCTAGCTGTCTGTGTTCCATTTTAGATATTTAATACTATAATAAAAATTAACATAGTATTCCATACATTTTTGGAAGAAATTTACTTATTTTTGGAAGAAATTTATAAAATTTATACTACTTTAAACAAGAGTATAGTTGAATGCAAGAGTACAGTTAGAGTAAGATTACTGTGTAGAAGAAATAGCCTCTATTTTGACATCTAGAATGTTTTTCTTCATTCAGGCATTTCATAGTCTTCTTTTCAACAGAATACGTCTTTCATTCATGATTTTTAATGTAATAATTTTAAGTTAAAATGCCTAAACCAGAACTCTAACTGCACTCTTCCCATTGTATAATCTGTCTTATTTTTAATAAACATACTTTATTTTTCAATAAGAAAATCTAAGTTTTATTTCTAAAAATTAAAATTCAAACTTACTATTCAATGACAAAAAATTATCTGTAATATTGCAACAAGAATGAATACTTCTCGCATTAAACTTAAATGTAAATATTTCTGAAATCTCATGCGATAAATATATTTTCGTAAATATAAAAAGAAATGTTTTTATTTTAAAATTAACTGTTTACGTCAATTCTTAATTTATTTATCAGCAGTATTACATTAATTTATACTTTTATTTTAAATTTTAATTATATAAACAAAAATTAATCATTTGCATAATTCAAAATCTATTGAAACATTTTATTTTTGTCACTGATTTTTACAAGTTATTTATTCTCAACATGCTATAAATTTTAATTGAATGAAAACGAAGTATTATTATTCTTTTATGAATCGATAATTTTTAAACTTATATTCATGATTATTATTTGCAATACGCAAATTTAAAGTGACCATAAAGTTTTTATGCACGAAATTGTGTTTTAACGTAAACTTTGGACTTGAATCTGTTCGAATTTTTGTTGCAGTAATTGTTAACAATAAATCATAACAAACTTCTTATCATACATAAATTTAAGATTATATTCCCGTAAAATATAATTATATACGATTACTATTAAGTACACACGTGTGCTTTGCGCAGAGCCGTAACTAGGCAGGTGCAACAGGTGCACCCGCACAGGGTCAGTTGGAAGGAATGCCCAAACTGCTGTTTACAAGAAATTATATTTTTAAATTTTAAATTTAAAAATATACATTACATTTCGCCTTACTTAGACCCTAGATGTCTGCTCACCAGTGTTTCCAACTGTGGCGACTTTTAGAGGGACATAGTAAGGTAGCAGAGACCTCAGACAAGTCAGCCAAAAGTAGCGACTTTTGATAATTTTTAATTTATTTTTTGAGAAATTTAAATTTACGTTTATAGTTTTCAAATTTACAGATTTATCTCTACTTTATACAAAGAGCTTTCTGGCAACTACTAAAATTATTACGATATACAAAACTGTATTTCTAGATTTTTCTACAGTGTGCAGTGCTAGAAATCTGTAAAGGTAACATTTTGTAACAAAAATATATCTGCCCAACGATTCTTTTAAAATTACTAAATTGAAAAAGGTAACTTCCGAATAAAATCTTAGTTTCGAGGTTGTAAATGGCGTCGTGCAGAAATTCTGACATCAATTTTTGCTTTGTAGTGCTACGCTTATGTTGTGTATATCTTAACGGTGGATTAAGCGGTAAGCGAACCATGTGGGCGCGTAGGGTCCCAAAGGAGCTCCCGCAGTCTTCAAAATGCTACTGAAAAAGGAGGCTGCGAAAACGCAGTTTTCGCAATCCCCTTTTTTTTTGCAATACTTTCATGTATCTATATATATCGAAGAGGTTTTTTTTTCCAACTATTTCTTACAAGTTAGTCCAAAAAAAAACGCTTTGATATATATAGATACATGGAAGTAATAAATGATATAGCTTTATGGCCAACAATATTAACAGATGCTGTTATTGCTCATATTCTTAAAACAAACCGAAAAGTATAGAAAAGAAATTTCTTAATAAACGAAAAAAAGTTAAGATAATAGAAATAGATAAAACACCAGATGAAGGAAGAAACTTGACATTCGAAAAATCATTTAAAATACAAATTTACAGTGTTCTTGACACTCTATTGTGTCAAATAGATTGGAGTTATGAAAAAATTAAACTATCCGTGACGATATTTGCTTTCTCTGTGGCTCTTCTTTACAATACATGAGTTTTCTGATTTAAAAAATTCGGCTGCATATCTCGCTATTAAGGTAAACGCACCGGTAGTAGTGAACACTGCATGAGTAGTGGACACTACAAATCATTTAGTCTACCGAATGATTTGTAGCCATCTACAACCTTATTACTCATATTTGAAGTTCAAAGTGTCCACTACTCATGCAGTGTTTACTACCGGTTCGTTTACCTTAAATATAGCAAAAATTTAAAAAGTACAAATTCACAATTAAAATTGAAAGTTTTAATTTTGAAATAACGACTCTTATACAAAATATAGAAACTGCATCTCTGCTTAATATTCTACAGGATCTTCATGATTTTGGTTTAATTGAGTCTTACCCAAATATCAATGTCGCTCTTCGAATACAGTGAAAACTGCTTAGGCGACCACATGCATTCAACGGGCACCTGTCAAAACGGGCAAAATTTTCCGGCACCGAATAGTTTATCCATAGAGTCTTCGTATAAGTTACCTGTATTAAACGACCACCTGCGTAACGCGACCACGGGCATCGATTTTTGGCCCGAAACGACATACAACACATGTAATAAGAGATCACTTTCGCGAATGTTTCTGATCTAAACTATTGTTCGAACCCTCCTCAACAAAGTGTCCCCCTCCTAACATAATGAATTAGTCTGAACTCTTGTTCGAACCCATCCCGGGCACTTTTCCCACCCCCGAAATTAGGTGCAGGTGTTAATAAATTAGTCAAGTAACAAAGGAAATTCATTTCAGTTTCTTAGAAAAATGTCCGAAAAACGAAAGAAATGCAAAGTGCTGTCGTTAGAAGATCGTGTTAATAAAGTTATCACAACAGCAATTAGCCGCGAAGTTTAACTGTGGGAAAACGAAATTTATTTTACCATAGACCTACAGAATTTTTCTTACGGGTATAAAAATATTGTACACGATACAATTAATCGGCTGATCTCATCGTTTGATAATAAATAAATAAATAAATAAAATTTTATTATTTATTTATTTCTTTAAGCTTATATATAGTACATGTGTTATAGTTTCTGTATCAATCTACCTTATTTCCAAGTATTTTTAGAAAAATAATATCCAAGTAATTTTCGCACGCAAAATATTCTAAAAACAATAAACGCATTAATGCAAAAATCAATTTTACGGCAACCTTCCTTTCTTGATTCCGCGATTGTCATTGGACAATCGCAGAATGTAATGAAATCGTATTATGAGAAAAAATAATAAATCGTATTATTATTAATTAATGATTTTTCTTATTGACACCAGTCGATATGTACAGCAACGGGTAAGATCCAAGCTCTGAATGAATGGTTTCGCATCCCTCAGAATTATTAACCCCTATAAGAGCAAAAAAGTCAAAGGAAGCATTCCTGTACATGCGACCCTTGGCGGGATACGAAATGTATTGGCCTCCGAAAGATGTTTTTAACATGTATCAATATATTGCCTGTTCTCCATGCTCTGCATGTAGTCGTGAGCTTTACTGCGAGCAACAGCGAGCTCCTTGCACTTGGGATGATATTACGCATCGGATTAAAGTTACAACTCGTACCCCGTTAACAGAGTAGCAGCACGGAAATAAAAATACAATCAATTCAAATTGCTCAAATTACTGAACATAAAACTTTTGATTATTTAAGAAGCGATAAATTATTCAAATCTTAACACTATTTTTAAATTATGGTTCACTCCAGTCGAGTGATGAAACAGTAAAAAAGTATTTGGATCACGGGTAAACCTAAGATTGAAAGAAGTCTGCGAGTATTTCAAGTGTCACGAACTGGAATTAGTAAAAAAGTATTTTGTCACTAACCTTAAATACATTTAGAAATTTAGCATTTTACTTTATGAAAGTAGGCAACAAATCACATCAACTATAGCACAATGAGTAACTTAACAGACGTCTTCATATTGTATCTCGGTATTTTAGTTACAGAAGCTGTTTGTGATAGCCATCAAAATGCTATATCGTAAATTTTGATATAATTTGTTCTCTCATTCAGTCTCTTCTACTGTGTGACAATCACAAATTTATAACGTTTTAAACTAGAATATATGTGTATTTTACCCAACATTATATATATTAATAAACATTTTATTTTTATAATGATCTAATATTTAATGAACGAATGACATTGGCAGCTAAAACGAATGCTTTAATTAGGATACCAGGAACACCTATGCTTCCAATAAAACGTTGAGTT